CTCTCAAAATATATCTAATAGTTGTACATACATGTCAACCCCTTCAGACGTTTACCTGTATAATGAGCCTTAAAATCTGTAATTTTCATAAAAGAAAAAAAAAACTGTATTAATCACATGCAGGGGGTGGGGTTGGTAGGTGGACCATCAGCAGCGAAGGGGAGGGGGGGTACAGGCAGACTGTCGGCTTCTGTATCAGAAGGAAAAAGGGCTGAAGACCTTGTTTCTAGCAATGGAGTGGGTTGGAAGTGGATATTTGATGTTAATAATAGTTTTTAACATCCTACAGGCCCTGACATGTTGAATAAATTAGAATAAGTTTTTTAAAAATTCCATAAAACATGAAAAAAATCTGTGAGTTTGCTCTATACATCCATATACACAAGAATTGGACTGAAAATGCAAATAAATAATGAGAAGTTCTGTGTTTATTGACCAAAGTTATAAAGATTTAATTATGTAGTATTTGCAACATGACAGTTATTACACGTATATTGATTAGGATGAACAAAAATACTGGTTTTTGATTGTTTATTACATTATGCACCAGATTATTACACCACCACATTTTGTAAAAATTGCCGCAAAATGTAATAACTTTATTACACAATGCGTTAAAAACTTTTATTACATTTTGTGTCAATTATTACATAATGTGGTTTTAGCACGAGTTTATAACATTTTGAAGCCTGATTTTGTTACATTATTACATAATACACTGTTATTACAAAATGAGGTCTTACAGGGTATGTGTTTATTTAGACTGGTTCATAAGATTTGTTTCTTTAGAAAAACATTTCATTTGCTGATCTTCACCTGGCATTAAATACCTCCTATCATCAGGTCTAGAGAGTCATCTGTTAAAACAATGACATGATATACACAACTAAATTCTGATTTACAAACAACTGTAAAATCTTCCTCCAGTGTTGGATCTGATATTTCTTAGCTGACCTCACAAAAGGTGCTGAGGCAGTCTTGAGGCCTGTGTGTGTGTGTGTGTGTGTGTGTGTGCGTCCCAACTCATCGGGGGTCATATTAAATGGAAAGGAACAGTGACATAATCCACAAAGATGCCTAATTTATTTTGACCACCCAGAGTTCATCTGTGGAGCAGAGGATGACATTATYATTTGTGAACAACACCCGACCAGGAAAAAAAATTGAGAGTCCTCTGCTTTCCTAATTTAGCTTTACGTTCTCCTTATGGCAGTTTGTTCCTGTTTAATTACATTTTCCAGTATGAGCTTTCAAGACTTGGCTGATGTCAGTTTCATTCAGCTCCCTCTGGAGCCGTAAGAAGCTCAATATTACGTTATTGCTTTTCTTCACGTAAGCTATGAATGTGATGAATGTGTAAAATTAGTGAGGCTGCTTTTTAAATAAACTTCCTCTCTCTTTTTTTAATGACCCTAGGTGACACACGGAATGACCTGTACCTGACCTTGGAGCGCGGGGAGTTTGAGAGAGGTGGCAAGAGTGTCCAGAAGAACATCGAAGTCACGCTCTATGTGCTGTACGCCGACGGGGATACACTCAAAGTATGACACAGACCCACATCACTRATCGTGTCGTCAGTGCATGCATAAAAACGAGCCTAACCTTCTCCCCATGCTTTTTTTCCTCTACAGGACTGCATCAGTTTGGGCACTGGCGAGCCAAATGCCTCTGAGTATCGCTCGTTCGTCCTGTATCACAACAACGGCCCTCGCTGGAGCGAGATGGTCAAGCTGCCCATTCCCATAGATCGTTTCAGAGGGTCCCATCTCCGCTTTGAGTTCCGACACTGRTCCAGTGAGTCTGCACTGCAGCCCAGTGGGAGTCCCGCCCTCAGAATATGACTCCAAAAATCTGTAGCTYTGATGGATGACATTATGATGTGCTTCCTTTCAGCTAAAGACAAAGGGGAGAAGAAACTTTTTGGGTTTGCTTTCACTCCCCTGATGAGAGAGGATGGGACCACGCTGTCGGATGAGATCCACGAATTATATGTGTACAAGGTACGCCAAGGTTAAATACACGCTTACAACATGGGGCTGCTTTGTAACTGTAAAAAAACTATTGCATATTAGTTCAAAATGAATTAGCTTTTATTAGAGGCATCAAGTAACAAAGTACAAATACCTTATCTTTATCTATACTTTACTCTTTACATTTCCACACAATAAACTGAGTAGAAAGTACAATTTACCTAGATAGGCCCAATCTGGCCTATCAACATAAATTGGGCCTCATGGAAAGAGTGAATCTAGTTGTGGTTGGACAAAAAGTGTAAATATATACCTCCTGACACCCTATTGTTTTGTGTGATCCATCATACATGTATGGCACAAATCACGTCACAGTCCAGCAGAACGTATCAGATGTATGTGGCCTAGTCTCAACCTCAGACTGAAGAAGACACTTGGATAATAGATGAAATGTTTAAAAAGAAAGAAAGAAAAAAAAAACATCCAGAGGACCTGACTCAGCTTTTTTTTTTAAACATGTGTAGCCTGGTATAAAGATGAGCCTGGTATGAGAGATATACTGTATGTGACTGAAACAGGTGGCCTAATGCTTCCCAAATCTTTCAACATTAACATTTAAATCTAAAAGTGTAGTCATTACTGCCTTTAGAAGTATTTTAT